AATATTCACCAACTAAGATATCATCTCCTCGGTAGTGTAGTGGTGAGTGTCCGCGCCTGTCACGTGTGAGACCCGGGCTAGATTCCCGGCCGGGGAGTTTTCTTAGCATTCGTTATTATTTTTAAGGGTATGCAATTACTTGTCATTTGTAAGGAATGCGGGGTTTCCTCAAATTGTTTATTTTCGCGTTTGCCTCAAACATGGGTAATTAATCCCACATACATTAGCACGAATCACGAACGATATTATAAATTCTAATAGTTGTTAACCAATCACAAGTAATTATTTTATATTCATCCTACAAATAGTGATTAAACCTACCCTCATTAACACGAATCGTTATAAATTCTGACAGTAATCATTGAATGACAAGAAATTATTTTTAATACATCATACAAATAAATATATGAATCCTAGAGTTCTTCTTTTATACCGATCTATTTCTGTTCAACAGCTGCACCGTCCAGTAGTTTCACTTTGTCGCACTTACTTTAAATAAGCCTTAAAAATCTCTCTAATCTTAACGAGCTATCCCTCTGAACACTTTCTCACTGATTCTCGGTGGGATAGGTCGTCATTTGAGTTCTAATAGCTCATTGCGTAAGCAATATGCTGTCAGTCAAATTATCTATATTATTATTAATTTGTTTTAATAGTCTAATTGTTAATTTTTAAGTACTCAAATTACTTCACGACACCACAGTCGTGGCATCATTTTCGCAATGCAGACGCAAACACGAAGCGGGCTTAGATTAGGAAGTCGATTTGGGAGAAAGGGGATTTATTTTTCCCCCTATTCATAATCAACACTGCAATTGCCAGAAGGCTATAGCCTTTAGGGAAATAGAAGCGTAATCCTTTCAACTTATATCGTATTATATCGGAGGTACTCCCGTCTGGTATCCAGCCGTGTTGTCTGAATCATGGTCCCCTTTTCCGCTCGATTGTTTTCATCCATAGCAAACAGCGAAATTTTCCAGCTATTAGACGCGAAATTTCATGTGGTCATCTTCCCGTTATGAAAATATTATAGCTTGATGAAGATTTTACGTTCATATGGAAACAGTTATCTTGACATTACTATCTACAGACGAAAATTCCGTTCTAATATTGATTTCGCAGCTTATCCTGTCTTGTCATCTATTACAATAATAAAACAAGCAAACAATTTTACATAATTTTACATTTTGCATTAATTTGCATAGATTTGACGAAATTCAAAATTTCAGCATAATCATCAATCGTGTTCATCAACAATTTTCCAAAATTTCATGAGCATAAACTTAGTCTTCATAGTTCTGATCATAGTTCGTACGAGTACAGTGGATGTGCGGTTGTTATAATGAGCAATCGCATTCATGTGTATCTTTGGTTGATGTCGTTTTTCGTTTGGAATATTCTCTTCGTTTGTTCATATTGTGCGTTGGTATTTCCGTACAGTTTGACGTCGTTGTTGGTGCAGTTGATTATTTGGAAATGCATTTGGGCACTCACAATTTGTTCGTTACTTTGCGCCGCATTCACAAAGCCAGCTGGTATCCCTGATCGATTCAAACCACCGCTTAGTTTAATTCAATCAAATTCGGGAAATTTGTTAAAAGCAATCAGCAAATGGGTTAATATCACTATTTTTTGTTATCATTATTTGTGTTTGTTATGTCATCGTTATGATCACTGCTATGACCGATCCATTTTTGCCTGTGGTTTGCATTTGTAATGTTATCATCATTTTTGTTTCCATAACAACCTAGGATTTTCCAACGCCTATTTTGATTCACTCACATCAGCATAAAGTTTTTATGCTTCAATATCTTGTTAATGATCCGTACAAGCGTGGCAGATCTCATTTGGAGGCTAATAAATGAAAGAGACAATCATCTGAGTTAATCAGTCAGTGTCATCTTGACAGCTGATCACGAACAATTCACCGTTCCAGGCTCGTCAACAGAAACTGTCGGTTCGATTCCGAAGAACAGCAATAGAGTCGGGCGTGATAAAAGCGCCGAATTATTGTTATATTTGTCAATCGATTAAACCGGACAGAGCACATCACTGTCGAAAGTAAAATTCGCAAACTCTTCATCGATTTTGCTTCGTTGGTTTGTTCACTAAAATGGGCCGACGACTTTTTTGCGCATTCCATAATCGAAATTTTCTCATATGATATTTTCGTTGTTGTCATGAGTGTTGTATAGTGATACGAAGGAAGGCGTGATTGAAATTGCAGGTGTAAGTGTTGTGTGCTTCGCATGGATCACCACTGCCCAGTGTTAGGTGAATGTGTTCACATGCACAATCACAAATTCTTCATGTTATTCCTCTTATGGGCATCGGTACTGTGCTTATATGCCACTGTCGTTGTATCACCGTCCATCTTTCTCCGACTATACTACATGTATAAATCTGCAAAAATCACTAGGGCTCTACCAACAGTTCTTGTCATATCGGGATGTATGAACGCTCTGGTATTGTAATTTAACACTTTTTTACTCCCTTTCCGATTCTATATGAAATCATAATATACACTTACTTGCTCCGTTCAAGCATTCGAAGGAAGCTTGAACACAACAAAATTCACGTCTCTTCTCTCATTCCTTGAAGGACAAATCAAACGAATCTTTGAATCAGAGTTTTTGCTCTCCAATCGAAATTTTTTACCACTGAATATTTTAATGGTGATATTCATACGTCGTTCAAATATTTTTCTTTGTCATGCTGACACAGCAATACAAGCAGATCTTTCATTCTCTCGCTTCCAAATTGTTTGAATTTCAAGCCGTAGATATCGTCTTGACCAGCTCCTTCTCGCTATTATACTTCGTCATCAATTTTACAAGATATTCCCAAGTCTTCACCAAAGCAACGGTTGATCATCCGTAAGCATCATCAATCTTTACTGATCAAGAAATGTATACTACGTTTCAATTTATTCCATCCCAACGAACTCTCTCATTCAAAATTTCAGATTTGTGGAACTGCACTTTTGTGTTTCTTGGGAGAATTAATGCGATCATTGTTACACAACGAAACAACACTTGAGGCAATTGCTTTAAATCAATACGATGAACAAAGTGCATTCAATGATGCCATTGCAAATTATGATCTCAAATCAGATTTTGACAATTTTAAATCAATTTTCGGACCTAATCCTTATCTCTGGCTTCTTCCGCTGCCATCAACATATGGAAATGGGTGCGATTTCAAGTATTCGATCGAATATTCCGAACATAATCGTTCTTCGGGAGCTGTTGAAATGTCGTCTGAATGAATCGATCTGAATATGACTAAATTATAATCGAATTTCAAACTGTTATGTCCAGCAACGAATAATTCTCCTGTGAACTATTCATTACAATTGGAATTGAAGAGTAATGAGTACTGGGTCATTTTTTAAGAATGAAGTTTGTTGATTATAATTGGATATCATTCTCGTTCATGATTGTCTTAAGTCATCGAAGAGAATCGTTTAATTGTTATTCAATTGATTTCTTTGAATCAGAGTATTTGCTTTCCAATCGAAATTTTTTACCACTGAATATTTTAATGGTGATATTCATACGTCGTTCAAATATTTTTTCTTGTCATGCTGACTGATCTCAGTTTCGTTAGGTGTGATGAACAACACGTGTTAATTTTATGACAATATGAAATAAAATATTGCATTCTGCATAGAAATTATTACACATGGAATAAAATTTTGAAGAACATGTTCATAAAACTAAATGGATTCATTTTGAATTACAAAAAATATGCATTATTATTTTTTGAGAACCATACTGAAGCAAACGCCAATAATAATAAACTGGGACAAGCTCTTTGTGTTCGAAAACTTTATTGTAGAGTGACGAACGGGGAGACTTTTGTATGGGATCATACCCCGTGAGCAAGAGCTGAAGTGGCGAGGGATCCTGGAAAACGGGTATCAACTTCGGACATTGCGATGGATAACTGTGTAACCTCACCCCGTTGCTAACCCTACTTTATTCACTCAAAAATCCAAACGCATTTATAGCACAAACCCAACTACAACATTCGATTACAAGTAATTTGGTGTTTTTGAAGCAAGTTTTGGGACGCTTAGTCACTTGAAATTAGTGAGGATTCTAATTAGTTTCTAATAAATAATATACCATATGTATATATGCAGCCTGGGTACCCCGATATACGTAAATAAATTTCTCGAAGACAAGCCAAGGATTAATGCAAATCTTGTTTACTCCTCAGTTTCATCGCATGTATGCAGCAGGGCGGTACATGAGATGAAGCTTCTAGAATATGAACTCGATTTTGAACATGAATCACTTGTTGAAACAACTCATGCAAACACTGCATGAAATGCCTGAAGTATGGTGCTGTAGGGTACGGTATGACTGATAGACTTTTGTACAACTATATTATGAAAACAGCAGATACCTTTAGTAAGAGTGAAGCAGTAGTAGTTTCACTTATTTGGGTGCCTTCACTTGAGTAATCATGAGCGAATGAATTAATAAAATACTTAAGCAATCAGCAGTTGAAGGCAACAACTACGAATTCATCTCATATTTATTACCTTATCCCTACAACATCTCTCATCGTCCACTAAATGACGGTAAGGGAACGTTGCATCGGTGTTGGTGACAAGTACAATTCGATGTGTTGTAGTAGACCTCGAATGTGTGATTGTTTCGTTCGTACATTAGTTTCAATATTTGAAGACGATAGATCGCTGATGACACTGTATTCGTTGGTCCTGCGAAACGAGGTCGTCGATGCTGTTCTGACATACAGTCCATTAGAAAATTCCAGCTGGAAATTTGATTGTTGTTGCGAGTTACATATTACTGATTCAGTGATATCACTTCATCCGAACTTTATTGCAATAAACTCGACAGATTATTTTGAGTAGTGTTGCTCGCATCGTTCACTGTATGTTATGACAAGATCTATCACCTGATTGTAGGTCTCCATCCCGGAATTTTGTTAATGCTTCAGCATTCACAACTGTTCGAGAAGTGCTATTGAACTTTTTAAAAGTTGTAAAAATCGACCCAAGTTTCGTACTAACGAAATCAAATTTCCGTTCGAATCCAGTGAGTGACTGAACACTTTGAATATGTCCTAGTGATGAACACGTTTTCTACTCCTCAGTCAGTTAAGCACGCTTGGTAATTCCAATTGATGACTTACAAATCAAGTGGGCAAGCAGGTGGACAATGCAATCCTCTGTCCGGCCATGTAAAACACTGTTGTATTTCATCTACCGTCCTTTGATAGTGTGGCTCAGCACCCAACGTCGCACACTCCCATCCCAATACACCGAACATCCTTAAATATCGGCTATTCAAAAATTAAGTATCAACTGAATCTTAATGAAAATCCAGTGGCGCTTCGATAGTCCATATGAACCGTTGTTTTGTGTCGACACCTGACCATTATTCACAATTACGGTAGATTAACAAGGAAACCCACAAAATTCTTGGTATTAGTCTCATGTTGATTCTATTCCTCGTACTAATCCTCTTAGTAATTAACAGAGAGACCCACAAATTCATCTTTTTGTGGAATCGCAGTAAACAGAATATGAGTTCGCTAACCAAACGTCACTCTCGGGTCGATGATGAATTCGGGTTCGATCCAAACAACTGACAATTTCAGGTGGAAGCCATGGAATTGGAAGACGTGGTCCAAAATCGATTGGAAGGCCGAAATCACCTAATTTTGCTTTGCATCTGAAAGATCATAATCATCAGCACTGTTTCATTGATGATTTTGGTCTCCTATTCATTTGTTCATTTATTCATTAAATCAACAATCACCGTAACTAATCATAAGCATTTTATCATCTTTATCATTACATAACATACTTCTCGTGTTTCCACATCGCTCTCTTACACTTTGCGCTTAGCACTGTAAAAATATCCACCGAATATCCTTACTCATCGTTATTCATGTTGCTCTTTGCATCATTTGTTCAACAATGCTAACTGAACTTGTAATCTAGCGAAGTCTACATAACAAACTAACGAACAAACGAAACGCACTGCAAGTTGGCAGAAGTAAGCAGAACGTTTCTAGCTGCAACATCACCGTGACTCGCTTCATTACCGGATGCATCTCGTGTTTCGTGTAAATATTTCAACGCTTCGCCAACCTGACTCAAGACATTCACAATATCTCGTACATAAACCGGTGGCGCATCATCTCCTTGCTTCTGAAATTTCTTTCACCATAATCCTTTCATTCAAGTAAGTCTCTAAAGAGAGGAGATGCTTCAGCCGCTCCCATATTCAATTTCCTCCAAATAGCTACAAGACTCGGAAGTCATGAATGATTAGTTTAAATGAAACAAAGCAAATATTCCAGTAATGAATGTAGATCTTTATTCTCCTCAAGACTTAGTTGCAATTATTTCAACTAACTATTAGAATTTGCCTGTGGTTTTGGATCAGAACAAATACTCTGTGGCAAGTATCGACCATTCATTTGTAACGTTAGGTTATGCTCAAATGCCCAAAAAATTTTAAATTCTTAAGGAATATTTTCCTCGACAAAAAATATTTGTTGAAGTCTACTTACTCGGATATGTTCCCTGAAATATTCGGCTAACGATCCACCGGGTAGCCATTCCATTGCGATCATCGGTCGAAATGCTTGAAAAGATAGTTTGCTAACAGCAATTAGTTTGACAATATTCGGGTGATCTAGTTTCGACATACGATAAGCTTCTTCTAGCAGACCAATTGATTTCTGTGGCATCGGATAGCTCATCTGAATCAAAATTTTAAATCTTTTAAACATATCTTTCAATTTATTCCTCAACGTAACCTTACTGATACAATCATGCGTTCCATTCAAAATTTAAGATCAAACAAAACAGTGCGTCGCTCAGGCTATCGTAATGAAGCTAGAATACAACTAATGAAGAACACATCGTCAACTGTCCATAAATTGTGTTCTAAACAAATTAGAACACTTGATTTAAAAAATATTAACCTCGTCTTCAGCTCAGACCATAAATGCCTAATATTGACTTACTTTGACGGCAGCAAAAACTTTTTGTTTGAAGCGTGTTTGAGTTCTCGGAAATACGTATCCTTTGAAAACGAACCCAACTGCGCCTTGTCCCAGCTTACTATCCGTTAGCTCAATGAAGATATCATCGACCAATAAATGTGCCAGTTCTATAAATGATTTGCCTCATTCCTCCAAGTAAAACTATCGATATCTTCGAATTGATTCAGGCCTAGCCTAAGAGTTTTATTCCAACTTACGCTCACCTTAGTCTTTGGCTCACAATTATTTTCATACGTCGAATACTTTTTCATTGAACAGTATTCGGCACTTTTTTAAGTCGGATATCAACACTGCTCACAATTTTACACTAATCACTGATACTTTGATGATTAGTGCTTAGTAATAGTAGAATTGAATTTCATAAATTTGTAATTATTCTTGATCGATTATCTAACTTGCAATGACCTTAGCTGCATAATAATTCATAAGATTCAGGCTTACCAAGTTTGAGGAATTTGAGTCTCTTTTTGTAAGGATATATTGAATCTGGTGCCGGTAAACATATTTTCTTTCCATCTGTAAATTGATTATTCACGAAACAAGTGAACTCGAGTAAGCAAAACCAGATTCAAAAGGATAAGAGTTTTTAAACTCATGATTGCGGTTATTTTATCGATTAGTTGAGTATTTTTTGCCGCAGTTAAGTTATGTTAAGAAGGAATTAGTCTTCTTCATGTTTGGACGCAACTACTCCGTACAGCTAATTTGCTCAAGAATTCAAAATGGAGTTTGCTTAAGAAAAATCGTCTGAGGATCGTTCAATTTTTGTGCAATGATCGTTTCGGCTGTACGCAATGCTCAACGTGAAGCCAGACATTTAAGTTCTTATTTCTGGAGTTTGCATGAGCTCGAATATTGATTGTTGAACGGAATGTTGATTTGCGTTCAATTCAACAGTCAACATCTCAACAAAAAATCAGTTTAAAAGAAACGAATGAAAACAAACGTTTGCAAAACCAAAACAATGCAAGAAGGTAAAATGAGAACATCGCAATGACAGTCGCCCATGGTGTTATATAAGCTGTGTTCGAACAAGCTAGTGTTGGCGTAGTCGACGAGTTATAATACATAATCGTTATTATTGTTGTTCATATCGAATGGAAGATGATCACTAACAAACGTGTTTCTGGTGTTTTCGTACTTTTTGTCATCTTAGAACTGTTTTTATATCTTTTATTGAACGTGCTCATATTCTTCACGGGTACGCATCTTCATTATTGCTGCCGATGTTGTCGAACCGGTTGTCTGTCTTGTGCTTGGCGAATGCAATATCAGTGGACGGAAATTTAATGAGCAAATGTTTTAAAAATGCTTAATGAAGCGTATTGATTCAAGAATGCAATGATCATTGCTACTACTTATCGTCGTTTGGACAATTGCGAAAGTTTGAAAGTTATCTCTATGCTTATAACTTATTGTTAAAGAATTATTTAAAGTGGATTTGTTCGTGTGGAAAATCTACGTCATTCAAACTTCGTGAAGTGGATGTGCTTCAGTGAGCCATTGAACAATAGAAGTTTGGTGAGTGAGTGTTTTAGAGCGTGGATCATCCGTATGGCTCATAACTGTGATAAGACCAGAAGAAATCCATCGACTGAACTGCATTAAACAATCTTCGAGCCAATACTTTCGACTGATTGCAGTGATCAGATCAGCTTAACCTCATTACCATGAATTTTATGAAACTTGAGGATACAGCAATTTGAAAATGGGGCTCGTGATATTCTTATAAAACTGTATCATTGATCACACCTCAAAGGTAAAATGTGCAGAGCTTGGCAGTATTAAATAATTGCTGAGGTGGTCTGACATATCCTCAAAAAATCAGCCATATCTCTTGAACTGTTCCATCAACAACCCTCGACAAAGGTTGTGAATAAGTTGACTAATTGTGAGCTCTGCAAAATCCTTCGACAACTAATATACTATTCCGAAAGCTGAGAATCAAAAAACCGTGATGTTACTCAAAAGTTGTGTAATTCTTGAACATTGTGAGCCCTGCTGATATTTTCAAAAGAACTATTGAATAACTGAGTTTTTGGAATGACATAACTTGGAAGGTTTGAACTTTCAAATAATAACCCTAAACACATTCTTCATCTATCAAAAAATTTATATTGCTCTAATTTCCTATTCTCATCCAATGAAGTCAATAAATTCTTGCCGCTAGGTTCATAAGAAATTGCCTTCTTCAAATATTTACCTCACAACAAGCTTTACGCCCCTGAGTTAGTTCATTGACTGCAATGCTCAGATGCCACTCGCTCAAATGCATTTTGTTTCATTACACTCACAACGCATTTATTCGTACATTATTTGCCCATATACTCGAATGCATTTATAATGTTGTATTATAGCATCCTATTTCTATTGTTATGTGCCCGTCATAAGACCACAAGAATTGTTTATTCTATCGACAATGTAAACAAATAAATTCACTCGAAATGAGATCCATCGTCCCTTGGAATATTTGCATTCGCTTTATTCTAACCTATGAAAGAGCGGTCGACAGTTACAAAAGTTAATCAAAAACAAGTGATTAGAAGGAAAGTTTCATCATCAACAAACTGTAAGTAAGAATTTGGGGTATGCAAGTATGGAAGTATGAACGAGTTTTGACCACTTCTCATTCGACGAAATATGCATGAATTAATCTATGAATGGCTTTTTAAAACCAACTTCAAAATCAATCCTTTTTTGATCAGACAATTATTAACCATCAATCAGTGCCTAGCACTAGCCTCTCCTACGAACTTTCCACTATTCACAGCACACAGTTTGATAATCACCGAAGCAGTCTTCAGCGATAAGCACTGCACCACATTCTCTCGTTATGTGGCCTGATTCTACTGAAACAGAAATTGCTCACCAACCAATCACAAATTTGGCCAACGCAAATCCTACGCAGTCCTTATAAGATCCTCCTTCCATATAGAAACCTGGATGGAACCTGTTCACACAATGATGAAAGACTTGTCAACAAACTAAGTCTGATACATTCCAATTGTTTGAACAACGAAACCATTAATTCTCAAAGTTGTTTCATTTAGCCGACTTCGCATCGACCTATTAACTGTTTTGGAGATTCGTCTGAATTCGATGCACGTAAACTAATACACTGTACGACCTCCCGCATCTTGTCTTTCTATTACATAATAACAATACACAAGAATCGATCATTCCTCTATCATTTCGCTATCTTATGGTGTGATACATTCCTTACAATCAGATTTTATAGCACGACACACTTCCATACGTTGACAGTCAATTCTCTAAGAACTATCTACTGTCCAATGCTTAAAATAATCGTTTACCTTACTTTCCTCTGAATGAATTGTTTATTTCTTAAACTGCCGATTTAATTCCTTACTTCACTAGTTACTTTTGAGAACAGTTTATGTGTTTTAAGTATTCACACATATCGAATTTACGTCATTCCAGCATACTGATATGTTGATGGTATGATGCAACCATCAATAAAAATCGCAGCAATCAACCATTCGATCGTTTATCAAATCAGCTGATCTGTTTTTGCTTTCCTTCAGAAAATTCTGAAAATAGCTGTTGCTGCAGATCGTTTTTGTCTCCACTATCGCTGACGACAACGATGATTGTACAACAAATACCACTGAGCATAATCGCTTCCAATACCTATCCATCACTCACAACAAATCAATGATCAATGAAGCAGCTGATCACGAAATCGAATCCATCCAATAAAAGCGTGTCCGAACAACATAAATTTCCATAAATTCATTATCGCTCTTTTGGTGATATTCAGTCACTTGAATATAATAACTGTATAAAAGCACAACAACACAATTTATACATTGGGTGAACACAGTTACGAATGACGAACGCACATGCAACAATGTGAACCAGTACAGCATGAATGGTAGATTAATTCAAACATTCAAATTATTTGGACAAATTATTGCGCGACGGAAAAGGAAAAAAGGTAAGAAACGATAATCATCGAGATAAATTGGAAAGAAAATATAATATACGGTGAATGAATGGAATGAGAACAATTCGTACTGAAGCATTAATTATTTCGAAAAATCGAAACAGCGTAGAAATTACAATAATAATAACTGTAATAATGAGATAGATCTGAAAGCACAGGACATCGAAGTTAGTTAGTAATAACAATAACAATAATGTCACAGACACAAAACAGTTCCTGGAAAATCAACTTCCAATTTTTTTTGCACAAAAACGTGACAAATCGAGACAAATTGAATTGGACAATACGTCATTAAAACAGAACAGTGAGAGCATGACAAAATGACAAGGTGACAAATGTTCGCAAACCATCCGATGACAAGATACTTTTTAACCAAGCGAAGTTCCGTAATAGTAACACCAGGGATTCCAGTCATTATAATGGAAAGAACAAATCAATGGTACTCAACTGTCTTCACACTTATTATTATACAACAGGCTTGCAATATACAAGGAACAGGGAATGAAACCCAAACACGCACACGTTTATGAAAAGCTGCGGTGATGTATAAAACAAAACGACCCGCGTTCGAAATGAGATAAGCAAATTACGAGATATGCGTGCAGGTGGATATGAATCAATCATATCAATAAAACATACATTGCAATCGATCGATATACATACAAACAAATCTATTCAAGTTTTCAGTTGATAAACATAGACATTAATGGAAGTTGAAGCATGTTTCGTAATGAGAACGATGATTTCTTGATTGGACGATTAATAAGTAATTTGAGCGCTGAATTAAAACTACAATTCGGAATGGTGCCATAAATTAAGCAATCACGTGATAAAGAATCATTCGTTGTATAAAACTGAGACAATTAGTAATAATTCCAGGGACGTGATGCTGAAATTTTGATGAATTCCATCTGATGTTGTATTCTTCTCGGAAAAACGAACGATGAAAAAACTTCAGCAACCGTAAAAAATCATCACAGTCATTGTTCACTGAAACGAACTTCTCAACAATCAAATGAAGATCGTTAATCAAAGATGACAAAAACCGTATTTCTACATTACTGCAATTAATGTGACCCCCATCAATTCAACTGAATTCATACCTACTACAAATCAGCATTTGTCGAATACGAGCTGACTGATACTATACAATCTTCAATCTCAAAAGTATACCGCACATAGCAAATGATAACGCAAAATTGACGGTAGTATTTCGACTGAAGCAATTTTACAAACAAACGCCTCTTGAATTGCACACTAAAATCCACAAATTATGCATTAATTCCATTCCGCTGTTTTACGCCTCACCAATGTATAATGTATGTAAATATGATTAAAAAAACATTACCGCTCACTTGCTTAATTGTTTATCTAAAAAGATATATTTCCAATGAATGATTTCATGACAGCAACTGAAAATGAACTGATTGAAGAAATGAATTGAGATGGAACTTCATTCGATTGAGGCAGTTTTATACAGCACGACGATATAAACAAGATCGCATGCAACTCTATAACATTTACAAACAACGAATACGATACATGAATAAACAACGACGAACACACCAAAATACGACAAACTGACACAATATACAAATGAAATCAAAGAGATGATCCAAGACATCAATATCAACACAACAACGATTATTAATGCCTTTAGAGTGAAAGAAATCGAAATGAGATATATTAGACGACCTATAGGTTAGGCATTACATGGGAACATAAATATAACAATAGTAACGGTGATAGTAGAATATGAGAAATACAGTCAAGTGTGAATGAATTCGAATAGAACTCAGTCCTGCTGAGCACATAGTGGTAGGGTTACCTCGGGCAAGGGCAGCAAACAATGTTGTTGTTCATGATCGAGATCATGATCACTGTCATCTTCAACCTCAACCGACGCCTTACGTTTCGCACCGCGAATACGTTTCTGCTGCTGCATTCGCGCACAGCCATTCTCCTTGTCCTCGGGGCATAGCAATGTGGCTATTGTCTCGCGACATTCGATTAGTTCATTGTCATCTATCTGCAATTTCATTCACATTATCAATTTGTGATGACCAATTATGTTGATATACACCTACATTTGCAACCACACGTTAGCAATGTTCAGTTCGAATCATCTCAAACCTTACCAACAGTTGATAAAGCCGTTCATGGAAGTGTGTTCAGCGTTGAAATAATGTCGAAAAATTTTTAGAGGATAATAAAGAATTTTGCAACAAATCTAGAGAGAATTAGTTCCATGCACTGTGACGATGCCTAACTGGTAAAAGGCGAAAGGAAGATACATCAATTGTATCTATGTCCAACAACCATACGCAGACCAATCGATTTTGCTAACAATAAGATGCTTAACGTAATGTTGGGTCGGTGACCATCGAAAACCGGTCGGTAATCATCGACGGTTTTGCGGTGGTCCTCGACCGGTAATCACCGAACGCGACCGACAAGGCTTGCTCGGTCAGCGACGGTGGCAAACCGCTCCGCGATTACAACCGAACCGCAACCGACCGATGCTGAAAACTAGGCGATCGGCGAATGCCGAGTTGCGGTAATCATCGACAGGGCTCTCAGTCGGTGACCACCAAGAAAAATCTTGTGGTTCCCAACATTAGTTCAACGGTATTTCGAACACTTCAAGTCAGAGACTTGTTGTGTGCTAAGTGAGAGCACTTCATGGGTGTCGTTAGTAACACATTAAATCACTCACTAATTTCCCACCGCATTCAACTATTAGCAGATGCAGTAACTGATGACATCAATCAGCATTTTCGTGAGAAGTACACGCAAATGAGATTCAACTGAAACGATCGAATTTGAAGAATTTTCACTTTGTAGAAAACGATTTCTCACCTAACTCCTCCAGAATAAATCGTCGACTTAAAATCAGGATCATACATAATGCACACTTTCAGTGCTTTAATGATCATATCCTATGCGAAGCATGAGTGGGATCATGGTGCGAATGGGATCACGCTTCAAGAGAAAATGTTGAGAGTCGAGCAAATGAGACTGAATTCCATCTGGATGATTTTTGCAACGTTTCGACACGCTGTCTAGTTATCTACTCTCCGTCCCATCTAAGGAATGCAGGAAAATCTCAGTTGTGCTAAATTGGTTGGCATCGGCACTATCCCAAAAAGTAAATATGAAGACTAATTTCGTTAAGTCAATTTCAGTGAATGCAAATCAGACAAAATTATAGCGACTCTTCTAAAAAGCATGAACAATGAAATATCAAACTGCACTAAAAGTGCAAAAGATTGCAAGTATTTTCGCTTATTTCATTGAAAGACTAATAACAATTCATCAGAACGATACTGGATTTTTATCTGAAACACATTCATGTTCAATAACGCAGCATACATAAGAACGTAGCGTTTAAACGAATCATTTAATTGAGAGCTGATTAGGTTCAGTTTTACAAAAATGTTCGCATTTTCATACGAAAAAATAATGTGATGATTTTTTTGCAGAGGTAATTTTTTGCGTCAGACAACAAATGAAGCACAAAAGCCTGTTGTTGACCCAGTTATATCTCACTGCGCAAATGCTTGTTCAGTGAATAGATTTAAATCGTGATGATCTATTCCTTTCAATCGCATAAATTTGTGATAAGAACTGCTACGGGATCAAAAAAAAGATCGGGAACGATCGAAATATAGAGAGAAAAAGTGCCATTATTCATATACACATGCAATCGGACGCAAGATGGACGAGAATGCGCGTGAAATATGAAAAATTGATAACCTGAAGCAATCGCTGAAAGCTGACGGTGACAGGGAACCATGCGGGTGTTCGCATCTCGAGAATCAATGAAAGAAGAGACAACGCGAGGAGCGAAGGACGAAACTTGTATGAGACCGTCGAACAACAGATCGCGCTCTCGATGGGCACACGAAAGACTGGCAGGAATGCGGAACCCATGCAGCCCAGCATCGCGTGCATAAAACGATCCACGCTAGGCACACCTGAAATATTCACTGATATATATAGATGAATATTTGAGCATTCGATTATATCCAGCAATGATAATGAAAACATTGTTATTGATTCAAGTCAAATAAACTTCAGACAATCATAATATACAGTTTGATTTGCGTTATATCCTTTCGTTTTTCCTTCAATTAGAAATTACTGGAATGGTGGAGCCCAATTTGTTGCCTATTAATTGATAAGACTGAATAAATGAATTTCACTTCCACAACTTCAAAAATGAGAATCAATGCAAATAAATGATCTTAGAGTCTCCCAAAAATCGAAAAACGCATCATAAAAATGAGGTGAACATCAGCATGCAAAGGACGAATACATACTACTTATAAATAAGATGGTGAAGTAGACAATAAGGTATGCGGATAATTTTGGTTCGAAAAACGAGTAAATTTTCTGAAAACAACGAATCAATCAAAATATAAAGTTATTGACTGCGACATCAGACCGTGGATGAATAACGTGTATTACTTGTGTCTAGATGCTTTTTTGATGAACGCTCCACAGCTGCTTTGAAATGCAATGAGGAACAAAAAGTTGAACGAAAAAAGTGGTGAACAATAAACAAACGATGAGAATGTGCGAGGTGTTGATTGCAAAATATAGTGCGACTGCAGAATCATCATTACTGAACTACGCCTCGAAAATTGATCTTCTCGAATTCAGAGAAATTTTGAAAATAGTGAAGTAGTGATCGCTGTTCTCAAAATGCATTCATGGCGCGAAAATATTGACAACTCGAAACTTTGGATTAGCTTAGCCTCTGGCTCAGTCTCAACCTTACACTAGCTCTTGAGCTCAGACTTACTTTCGCCCTTCGGCTACGCTCACATTCAAACTGAATTTCTAGCTTATGGCAAGTGAATGTCGTGTAATATTTAACGTATGACACTGTTTATCGCATCAAAACGTTGTTGTCTTTCCACTCGTTATTTTCAGATTAATTATTCCGGATCAACCGTAGTTCGCTGGTACAACGGAACGAAATTCAGTAAAATTCAAACCGATCATTTTTGCTGTACTGAAGCGAGAGTTGTTTATGCGTATAGCTGTTAGCCATCATAAAAGTACTAAAATATCGTCACGATGATGCTATATTCGAGCGAGCATAACATCAATCGATTGATGAACTAACTTCTGTTTACTGAGTTATGTTTTATCGTCAAGCATATCGTTCCGGAGCATAATTAAAATGAACGAGAAATGTATCCCTTTTCATAGACTCTCTTCCTAAGTTTCTCAGCAATACGAAATTGACCATTCAAACTTCACAACCCTCACTACTCAATGTTCTGCATAATTTCACTTCAGCAGTGATACTCCCCTAAGTGTTTGCAGTCATTTTCAAAACGCTTACGGGACTTCTTTACCAAGACAAACGTTAAACTTTTCTCTGAGAAAATGAAAACAACTGACCAGTCTCTCCGTGACACTGGATTATTCATGCTTAAAATGTCTACCACATGCAAACAAAAACATCAAGGGAACTAAACCACAAAGAAATAACGCTCCCTAGGAATGCACGACCGCTCAATATCTGTGAATGTTATTGAAGATGCTGCACAGAATGCATAGTGAAATGAACGCCAGGATGGATATTCAATGAAAGTAATTGATATCGAGAAGGAGACTTGAAATTTGACGCCGTTTAAATGATCCAACTGTTCAAGTTAATAAACCGAAGTATCCGCTCGGATTGAATCCAACACAAGTAAGATGAAATGAACAGTTTTGAAGAATAGCAGATGAAAATTGATGTATGTTTAGGCAAAACATATCTTCAAAGTTGTGAATAGCTAAAAATATCAGTGAATTTTGATATAGTTGAAGGGAATTTCACATTGACGGTGAATAATTTACAATTGATTGAAGTGGCCGAGTGAAAATTGAATTACTGAGTAGATCTCAGTTGCGAAAATGAGTTTGTTGGATTACACTTGAAGACTGTTCAGTGAATGAAAATTTAAACAGATGCTCAGATATCAGTCAGTATTAAGATTATTACTGCATTCACTATGATAGTGAACATCATTACAGCAGTTCAATTTTTTATGAACGCTCACAATTACTTTGCAACATCCACAACAATATTCCATAAATCGAAAAGCCGTTCGCTAATAAACTGATTGTAAGGAATCTTGATTTGAAGAAATTATCAGAAATTATTCAAATAAAAACAACAATGATCTATACATCATTCAATTACAATGCAAAAGTGACCTATATCATTGTTGAACTATTGTTTATTGAACAAAATTTGTGATAGTGTTTCATTTTGAAAATCAGTTTGTATACAACTATGTTTACACATTTTACGCCTATTTATTATTCTCCTCAATATTTTCCATCCGCAAACAATCAAAAAACTTGATTTCATTGAGCAAAGTGAAAAATAGAACTGATGATTTGACTGAATTTTAATGTTCACATTAAATTAATAATTGAATGATAACGATTCAATGGGTTGGACAGATCAGACGGACAATTGCTGTATGACACAAAATTATTATGTGATCATGCCGTAATATCAAGCAATTATCGGATTCCTTGTTGTTCGGTTGGAATACATCGCACTGTGGAAATCAGTTTCCATATTATTTGCACAAAGCGAAATTTGAAAAATGTTGAAATTGAACACAATTATAAGATTAAAAACGACTGCTTGAAACGCATACCGAGGTTCCAATTAAGGCGTGACAGTATGGTGAGTTCCATGCGATTGAGTTCAGGGATGCTGTACGGGAGTTGTAAACGCGATATGAGACGACCCGCATCCGAAACGCATACACATTCCTCGCAAAGCTTTATCGATATATACAAGCATGTCGCCGCGACACAATTTACGTATCTGCAATCCAATAAATTTGTTCCATCACTCTGTTATGCTCATATACTGTGGTGCAAATTTGTGACGAAGCACAATTCGTCACAAAGCACAATTCTTGAATCGGCTAAATGCATTATGTGAGGCAACCTGCAGTGCTCCACATCTACTTGTCAGTTAACAAACTCCGAATTTTGAGAAAATCATGGTGAACTAATGCGGACTTTGAAGGTCTATGGTCACGGAACTGCTTGAATACATTTTCAACTGCTAGCGAAACAAAAATATCACAAAACATTGTTTCAATAAGATTTCAGTGAAAACTGTTTCAGTCGATTTTCGTGAAAATTTCAGATTTTGCATTTTAACCTTTCATCTTGGACTTGAATTCATCGAAAATACAAACTGATGAAACAAACAGACTTTTAAATCAAATGATCGATATTCATTTCAGCTGAACCGTAACTTGAGATGGCTGATGTTAAATCAGTTGACATTTCGCGATTAATCACTTATGCTGTGATACAAGAAAAAGACAACAACATCAACAGATTAATATTTCGCTTCTCTTCAAAAGTTCTCTTTTCCGAATCTAATGACAAATGGATGGAGTATGAAAACCTGATTTTTTTAAACCGTTACGACTGTAAATAGCTACGGTTGAGTGAATTTTTCATACAAGAACATTATCACAGATCAATCGCTAGAGAGCGATTCCAATCTTGAATATTCACGTGTACATCCTTGATCAATAAACTCAGAAAAATTGCAGATTCACGACTTTGAATGCGTTTAGACAGGGTAAGGAGAGATCATTCAGTCGAATCAGCAAATTCATTAACGTAGAAAATAATCATAATGTCTGAGGACAACTTCATTAAATTGTTTACAATCGAACGATTTGAGAGTTCTCGTTAAAAACAAGGAAGTAAACTCTGAACGTGAAAACGATTAGATAAAACGGAAAAAACAATGAGGAAATATGAAAGTTCTCTAGCATTCTGCAATCTGTATGAAATGAGATATAAACGAAACCGATCACCATTGCACATTAAACCGTAATCATACGATTTGAATATATTCAGCCGTATGTTATCCACATAAAATATCGACAAATGATATCAAAAGATGGGCCAATATAATATTTATCTTCTACCAGTTACTGATAATCAGTCAAAAAATAGATCTTCCCGACGAGGCTTAAAACAACTATCAAAAACGATCAAATATGCTCTCATCAGATGAACGATTCAGAATTTATCGAATGTAAGGGGAGAAGCCATTGGATACATAAGAAGAACGACTTTTCAGAGGTGATTGTAGACTAAAATGCGATATGTAGTGAAGAATAATATTCCGATATTCAATATGAAGGCGAATAAAACTGAGAAATAATTATTAAACGTTACAAGAAAGATTTGATGTAAGAAGCTTCACGATTTGTGAAGAGATGTGACAATAAAGAAAGTCATTTACAAGCTTTGATTAAAACGCTGATAATAAGTAACAATTTCTGAACAAGTTGATAAATGAAACAGTGCAAACATACTTTATAGGAACACGTGTGGCTAAAAGGACTCGATCGAGCAGTGCAACTGCAAGGCATACAGTATCAAGACCAAGTGAAAGTTTAGCACCTGAGGTCACTATCCATACTGCCTCACTATCTCTCTCCTGTAGTGTCACAAGGCACGGTCCCTGAAGGTTGTATTGAAATACTAAATTTGATTATTATGTTCGCTTTTTATTGACTACACGGAAATGAAATACATAAAATCAAACTTTATACACAGCTTCACTCAATTCGAACTCGAGCAATTCTGTTTAGCATCGATGAGTAAGGCGTAAGTCGGACCGATAGGCAATGCTAACGGATGAACAAGAACTAACTATAGGTAAAGAAGTCGATGTTTCTGAGATAATTTGACGCTCACGATTGGCAAGCGAACGGAGCAGCGAAATGCGCGAGCTGCAGCCATCTCCCATTTCAGTGTGGATGAGATTTTTGGGGAATCTCTGCTGAAACTGATTTAGTTATTGATAACAGGGAAATAAACAGATGAACGAAACTATGCACTCGAAGTTGATCATCAAAGTGAAATGTTGATGGAATGAGATTCAAAATCAAACGCGCACGTATGACTAATGCCAATTGATGCATACACAATATGAACAAGCATGGGATATACATACATTAACAAATGAACCTGTGAAACATTCCCGCATTACAATGTGTTTCGCGTGATGAATTAAACTCATATCGCACTCACAATCAGATCAAATTCAAATGATACGAATTCAATTTAGATTCACATGTGGCTCAGATGTAGGCAATGCGAAACGTTTATATAGATGCAAGCAAAAAGAAAGCTAATAAACTCTCAACTTAATATTGCATTTTATAACTCATTATTAACGTTAACTCATTTCAACGTTCGAATGGCATTCACGTTCGATTGCGTTCCACACTCAAATTATCTTTTTAAGGACTTCACATAACACGCATATGTGCATACACACATACACAACTGCAAGCACACACTATGAGCATCTTCATGTACATTTTTAAGCATCACACATTAACTCAGCAGAACATTTGAGCCAGGAAAATTCATACTGTGAATATGCCCTCATACGGGTGATATTTTCCTTGGTCTTCAATTCAATGAACTGCAAATAAAACTGACAATGAGAGAAAACTTGACATTAATGAAAATTAAAACTCTTTCATTCCAAGCCCATCTGGAAGTGAACTGATATGTAAGTCAACTGAATTGAATGATGAAATTTTCACTCAGTATGGTCTCTATATGAGCCAGCAAATCACTACGATAACAACTGATTCTACTGTAACGCATTGATTTGAGGCGTCCATCCGAGAGATGGTAGAATCAATAACCATCGACGACAACTGAAACATTTCGATGAAATACGACAGCAACTGTCAAAATGTCTTTGTAATATGCGCTGGAAGATCAACAATCATATGCTGAGGAATAATTGAATGTACAGTCAGAATTTTTGTGGGTACATTTTTAAGCATCAACTGATAGGTACTTGTATCATTTTGTGCCGCGTTACGAAACATTGTGATATCTTATCAACGATCATGAAGTGATTACGTCAAAACAGACATCATAACTGGTCATTGAGTGAATGATTATGTTGACATAAGAGAAAGAAAAAAAGAATAAACATGAATAAGGAACACATCATTAGGGTTAGGTTCGCTCACTTCTCTGCTTCTTACCATTGGCTAATTTTGAAGATCAGAAATGAACCAGTGCACCTGAATTTATTTATAGTTGTTTTTAGAGCAGTAGATTTCGGTCTAATAAGCCAGGATACCGGGTGTGGCAGTAGTCAATTCTTGTTGAAATACACTCGTACTCACGATCAGGAACAAGAGAATGGAGACTCATACACTTTTCGAGGCATTCGTTTAGAATAACTGGAGTGAGAGATAGATACACCCCAACCATTGCAGTCACTCACCCCTCTCGCCCTCTAGTAATGAGAGGCATTTGTCACGTGCCTCACTGACGACACCATAAATAAAACACATCCTATCTATGAGGCAACAATGATCGTGCAAGTCAGTGAAAAGTGATCAGGAAAAGGAGCAATTCTAATCTGTTCATGAAAAAGTGTACAATGTAAAAGGATGAGTTCGTCAGTTGACTATTACGCGAACAAGTGAGGTTCGTTCTACCTCACACAAACGGACCAATGTGTGGTGAATATACAAGAACGAGCACAAACACACATAGATGCACTTACACATCATACTACTTTAACAAATTTATACGTTTATACATTTATATACAGTCATATAAACGAGTAAGTTTAGCGAAAGTCAGAAATTTGAGAGAGATGATAGCACTTATGCTACAGATATATGAACAGTGACGTGAGATGCCCATTTTCTGGAGAGCAATTGAAAGTTAGACGAAAATTATGACGAGAAAGAAGTGGTTGATTCAGATGAAAGAGATAACATTAAAAGCACAAAAACATGCATAAAACGATGAAGTGACGGAAGTGAGTATGGAAGACGATGAAACTGAGAGAATAAGAAATAGAAACGTTTCAAAATTGAGGGTGAGTTTCGAAGAGAGTTACATTATCAAAGATAATTTTTGGTGGTGAAAAGAGAACAGAGGAAAATAAGATGAGATAAAAAGAAACGAGCGAGGAACGCTGTCATGAGAAGAGATTGAGGAGGCAAGACAAAAATCACAAAGGATATGCTAATGATGCTTCCAGGCTTCCTTCGAATCATCATCATGCACTCTCAAACGCAACCGTGAGCCGAAAATCAAGTCGACGTGGTATCTATCTGTCAATCATGAAAGGATAGGTGCATGCTTACTCAATAATAAAATTTCATAGACAGAAATGTATCGATGAGAAAAAGTGAAGCAGAAACAACGAATGAATTGATGACGTGCACTGTGAGGACGTGATGATACTAGCAGGTGGTATTTGTGGAACAAGGAACGAAAGCAATGCACAAAAACTTATACGACGACCACTGAAAAAACTTGCCGTTTACTACACATGAACATCTCAAAAAACATGCCTTTGAACATAAAAATGAAACAACATCTAAGATGGACTGATTTTGTTAGGTGTAAGTAGGCGTAGAAAAAACAGGAAGTTCAACTCGTCACAGAAGATAAACCTATAACGTACCATCGACTATTAATCCAATGAACGAATGGCTTAAGCTAATCGTTCGAACGAATTTTTGAGCGAAGATTAAATTACTTCGAAAAGGCAATTAATAACGAGTAGACTGAATTGATAAGAAAAGGACAAGAGAGCGATCAAAATGACCCAGCTCACTTTGATCGCTATTTCACCCAAAATAAATCCTGAAACAATTTGGATATTACTTCGTTTTTGCTCTTCTTTCTGGGTTTCTGCTTACAAAGACTGCTTCAACAAACAATAAGCAATCCAACACGCATTCCAGTCGACTGTCAGATCGTATTCGGAAAATCAGTAAGATCCAAATATGATATATCAATCATTTTTAAAATAAAAAATTACCAAGTATGCTTAACAACGTTTTTTGTAACGATTTTAATCGTACTCAACGCTCTTTTCGAACCTAACTTTAAAAGTGGCTCAACTTCAATATCACATCACCTCTTCAATGGCGATAGATAGACCAGTTCCTCGGGAACAATGATACACGTCGACTCAACGCTGATCCATAACCATTTTGTCGGTGAACAGCACAATGCAATTTCTGACTGATGTGACATTATTATTCTCGAACGTTTCATCAATAACCTTCTCTTCGAGAATGTAACATGAATGAAAAAGCGATATTTTGAGTGTAATAACGGTTCATCGTGATCAAAAATGATGATGTGTTTGGGTGTTGTTTTATCGCTTTGGTCAGATGATCATTTGATGACAGTACACCATTAATTCCCCAAATAAACGTTTACAGACAAACGTGACTTTTTTGATATCACGTTACACCAAGCAATTTCAGAAATAATTTTTGCGCTTTTGTCAGAATGATGATATTCACTTATCTACTCGTTTGCGTGACATTTATCTATTGAAATCTGCATCACCTTTCCACGAAAAATCGAGCGCTTTGACGACCTTACAATCAGATAATATTTGAAACGTAAATATCAAACTATTGGCAACTTAGGATACGATTTCGATCAAAAAACATTTCTGCTTGATTGATCGAGTAAAGGTTATGAATGAATCCATAGCACAGCCCTTATCGCTATCGTAGATTACCGGTACTCGCTCCGTGCCGCCGAAATCAGTTCAAAACAATGATCTCAACTAAAATCATTCAAAGCACACAACATAAAATCTTATTTATTATCCGTGAACCGCAATGTTCTACATACAGATGACCTTCGTGAATTATGCCACCATATTGTCACTTTTCAGAAACTATCCTATAAACAAAAGCTACCCAGTTTAAGGCTGTGAGTAGTTTCCATTCGATCTGTCAAATTTCCACGACAAAATGATTTTTGTCGTTTATTGCAGAACTATGAGAACAGATCGAACTAGACTATATCATTCGCAATATTGTACATGAATAACAATGAAACCCTTACGAACGGGACTAAAATTGATGAAGTTTATGCAAGCATTTCCTGCAGTTGAACAGATCACAGAAACAAATTGAGGAAAATTTCATCTAAACGATTGCCGAGAGCACATGCATATCAAACTCAATTTATGGAAAAGATCATTACTGATCAAACGGATCGAACGAATAAATGAATGATTCATGACATGAAAAAATAAGATGAAATTTATGATTGCGAAATGTATCACAGACCTATAATCAAAATAAATTATTCTTTAATCATCATGTTGAGATCAATAACCGAGAATCATCGAAATTCAATGATAAACAAGAGATGCGATGATGCATGTTTGAATATAAAAACGTCACATGATCACTGCACTAATCTATGAGTCCTTATTTTTCTGACGTTGGCTTCATTGCAAGCGCTCGCACACAACTAGAACGAAGAGTTATTCAACAAATCCAATGCTATCATCAGATCGTTAAGTGTATGATTCGTTTATCCATGCGTTCATCATACACTCATGCGTTCACAATGCATTCACCAATCGATGAAGAAGCATAACCACGCACATATTCACTTCCTATCTGTCGTCTAGCAGCTGCGCTTTGATCGAACTTCCAAAGAATTAGACTTATGAAATCATTTGCTCAGGAATGATATTTAGTCCATGAATGATGGATATAGTCAAGTCGAGAAAGGTGGAACAAGCGAGACTCGTAAACTTTGAGTTCCATAAACTGACTTAAGTATCTTGCAGTTTGAATCTTTTACATCTCAGTCTAAAAAAGAAAAAAAACGTGATAGCGAAAAGCGACCGCGATACGTCTTCTATCGTAGCACCATAATCGATGAAACATTCACTGAATGAGTAGCAATAATATATACCCAAACTCTCAGGTATAGTATACATCAGCTGCTATAAAGTGTAAATTAATTAAAAGCCTACTAGAGATAGCATATATTCAATTATAAATATAAAGAAGAGGAGGATTAGATACAACATGATGACCGGGTGGATGACTGAAACAGATGGTGAGATCGTGGTGGTTACTTTATCGGCACAATTGATAGCGATGAGAAATGACGATGCGACAACGTTGCTGATCAAAGATCGATGTCTACATATGGTGAATAAGGCCGCGGATGAACAGATGGAAACGCATAGGTTTATGAGCAAGAAAAATGATGATGAACGAATCCATTTTCGATTATTCAATTAATCTAAAATGATATCATCTGATTTTGATCGAATTTATTCAAGCAATTTGCATGATGAACGACGACAAATCTCGTATGCATTTTCATCAGGTTACACATCAGTACCAATGCTTCAAAATTTCCTTTGTAAACTTTAATTTTATAATGTTGTTTACTTGTTTTTCTTTCAGCCATAATGTACTTTATGATGTCAATAATATTTTATGGCGCATATATGAACGAGAGACGTACATACGCGTACCCAGCAACTGTTCAGATGTGCGATCAAATTCAGCGAATCACAAAAACGAAACAGCGACTAATTAACTGAAATTGATTGATTGTTATTGAAATGTAATTTAGTCGCAAGGGACTATGATCCAATATCTTCCACGCCGATGGTCACCATGTCGAAAAGGTTCCGCTCAACGCGAAAATCAATCAGCGTTGAAATAAATGAGCAAGGTACACTAGGAAGAGTTTTTGTACTGATTCGGTAAGAAACTGACTTCATGGTCATTGGTAACCATTCAACGGTGAAAGCCGAGAGAAAGAAGGGACAATGGTTTGAATGATTCCGAGTTGGAGTAGAAAATAAGAAGAGAACTTGAAAGTGGAATAATCATATGAAAAATGTTAACTGAAAGAGATATAAAAATGAACAGACGAGATATGAACACATGATGAGCTCTATGATTATCAACGAGCCAATGATTTCGTCTTTAAGAAAATCGAAAGAGACCGAAGAAAAACGTAATCCAACTGAGTGTTTGTATTGTTGTCAAATCTGTTTACTATAAGTGCAGTGAACCACTGTGACGCAATGCAATGACACGAAAGTTTTAAACATGGAAGCAGAATAACGATTCGTGAGATAATTGCTAGGAAGGTACCATTTGATTTCGTACATTGGAATGCAGTGATTTTAAAAATTGTGAAATATTTTTGAAATTATTAGAGTGGTAAGCACTGTAAGGGCGAATTTATAGTACCGGTTGTAATCAACGAATAATACCATGTCGTATGCCACAAAACAATATAAATTGGAATGCTCCCTTGCAAATAAATAACCGGAAAAGAATTGAATATTCTTTCAGATTCAGTGTTTGCGCTTTAAATAAAGTACTCAATTCATAGAATCCATCTCAGAGGTTTATTCTTATCAAATCTATTCCGATCAGTCGTCAATTTTCCTCAGTTTCAAAAAACTTTTCAAATAATTGCTTCTTCATAAAATCCATTATATCATTTGCAGTTCATCTGTCGATGCACTTTTTCAAAGATGACCGATGGGAAATGAAATATGTGTCAACAATATCGAATCAAGAATTAATTTTTTGTTTCACTAAAATCTGACGATCACATGACGGAATTGTTCATTCTATTTTATTCTAGCGTTCAATCAAACCGTTTCACTCTCTTATCTCGATAATTCTCATCGCTTTTCTTATACTTTCCAAGTCCTTCATTTAAAAGAATGGAAGCCTAAATCAACTAAGTGAGTGTCGTGTGTTCACGAAAATTTTGCTAAAATCACTTTAAAATTCTGGCCTATCTCACTAACAATGGAATTTGGTCGACTGTTTAAGGTTTCAAAATTTTCGATCACACATCGACTTTGGCAGTGATCAATACCGACGACTATAAAATTTTAGTAAAGTATATAACGTATTATGGCTGATGCGGCGTGAACGAAGTTGGCGGTATCTGAAGCGGAAGTGAATATGAAATACAACTGATCCGTTTAGGCCACTTCAGAATCTCAAAGTTTTACCAAAATGTACTTTTAGAAGAAAATTGTAATCGAAACTTGGAATGATTCAGTAATTGTCCGCGATGGGAAATGATAAATGAACGAATTTGAATGTTCTTTGATAACAATTCAAATACACTGAATTTGTGCTTCAACTGATTATAGAACATTGTGTCTGCTTTCCGTAATAAAAGAATTGAGCACTATCGAGAAAAAGAAGGAATTTGAACATGATAACGCCGTTTTCATTAAAAATAAAAACCTTTTTCGAATTGTGGTTCGAAGATTATCTCATAAAATTATTATGACCATACTGATACGTATCTACATTCGAATTCAAATTCACTCACTTTTCAGATAGCTGAAATTTCGAAACGATTTTCAGTTTTTTCCGACCTGTGATTTTTTCGCCAATAAAAATGAACAATGTTTGCTTTGTGATTGCCCTCGTGACCGATCGATCACATGTTCGCAATGAGAAGATCAAGAAAAAACGTTGAACATTCCAATGGAAAACACAAAAATCAAATCAGAATGAAAGCAAACAAAATTCCAGCTACCTGACTGTTTTCTAGCCTTGTTCGACTCTACTGTTTGTGAAACTTAACAGAACAGAAGGAAATGAAACAATCAAAATAACGCGATACACTCTGCACATTCAGCGATGAAAATGCATGATCGTTCGATTGAATACCATTCACTTATTGTGCACATAACAAAAATGTCATCCCAAATTACGAAATAATCGGACCATGTCGCTAAAATTTTCGAATACGTGCAGTCGTCACTGAACGAATGCGTCAATACCAAGGCATCACATCAATAACGAGCGTTATAACGCACTTGTTCGATAAATAAACATAAATTGCAATGGACAATCGTTTGTTTACCTGTGATGTGAACGAAAATTTCACACTTTCAGCTATAATCATTTCCGCAAATGAAACAACTCCCTGTTTCGCATATTGTTCATCAATATCGAATGATTCGTATTCGTTGAAAGTAATCAGAAAGCATGCAAGCCTAGTCGGAATTTTTGAATTACTCTCAATCAGTGTTTGCTCGAGATATCGGTAATACCGAATATCGACATTAGAAAAGCGATACCGATCTCGGGATTCGTGGTGTCGATATTAACGGTATTTCTGGTATTCATACCAAAAGTCATTTTAAGTGAACTTGGTAGTTTCTCTTCTTTTCCTCGATCGTTCTCCTCTAAAAGCGACTCAGATTAATTTCGTGACATCAGCGGTAGTTTTAAGATTGGGAACCATCAAACTGAATGAACGAATCAATCAAATCATTTGTATTTCAGCCAATTCTAACCAGACGAGAAAATGTTGCGGTAATCTCAAAATAGTATTCTTCCAGCGCTTCAAGATAACGGTATGTAATGTTGGCATCGGCTGACATCCAAATTTCAAAGTCGGCACCGGAATACCCGAAAAAATCACCGAAACTTAGGGGCGATCAGTAATCTGCCGAAGAACTCAGTAGTTTGCGACCCGCTAAAAAGAAATTTTTGATTAAGCGCGGTATCCCCTGATATGTTTCACAGTCATTCGGTATTCAGCGATCTGCTGAAACCTATATTATCACAGGTTTCTGGAAATCAACTGTGGAGCATTTTCAACACTAGTGGTAGATGACAAAATTTGGTAACGAAATTAAAAATAATGGAACAGTGAATGATGTATCCAATTCGGTTTGAAGCCTCCATTCAGAGAAATGTCATCGGCTGTGAATTACTGTAAACAGAAGTGATTACATTTACAAATATATGCGAAATGTGTACACATTTTATTTCTTTTCATGAAAGGACTTGTTGAATAATTCTTGCTCCACCCTCTAACAAGCATCGCTTAACGATATGTTGGCGTATGTAGTATTCTACTGAAAATACCGTGAGTAAAGACTAATTGCCGAATGTAAATTTCCTGGGTTTTTGAAGTAGTGATCTAACAAGGAGGAGCATGCAGATTGCCAAAATATTTACTGCTGAAAACGGAACTTCTGAAAACCCAAAAAAAGCTCAGATGCGGTTGCTGATTCATTACCTACTCAGTTTAGAGAACAGTTTTGTGCACATTATCGAAAAAACAAAGAAGTTATTTACAAATTTAGCGTGCGAATTCATGAGGTTTTGTTAAGAGCGGTATATTACGACTTCAGTGAAGGAGAAGATGGGTATATACGTCCCGAGATTCCTTCTCGGAGAGACCTACTGAGAAGGACCATTTAGAGGAGTGTGTTTTGTTATTCTTAAGATTGTATTTTAGTATATAAGCTACAAATTGTTCAAAATCTGAAAACACAAATGTGAATGTATTCTTGATAATGACCACAAGAGAAATGTCGGAAATTTCTCCCCTAAAAATTCACTTCCTTCAAGAGCTTAAGAGGACTTTCCTTCCTCAAAGCAAATTTGTCGGAGAATGAGCAAAAACTGGATGTGTAACAAACGAAAATTACCGTCAGCCTATGCAGCTGTCTCCTTTGAAAGGCCGCGGAAATAGACAATGGAAATGTTGTTACTCTCTTCCGCACTTTTATAAGAGGGATGACGTCCAATCAAGTTCAAACAATTCGTCCACACAACGAAAGGATTAAGTCGATTCACTAGAAAGAAGATGAGAAAGAACGTTTCAAAAAGTTTCCACAGGAAAGCATTAAAATTTGCATAAATTCGCACCACAAAACCCATCGTAAATGGTATGAAGCAGGTGCGCATTAGAGGTCATTCATGCAGTACTGATTGTGAAAGGACGACGATGCGTTGACAATGAAAAGGACTCATTGATGAATGAAGGATTTCATCGGAACTTTTACACAATGTTTGCTGACAACTGCAGCGTTTACGATTCATTATGAATGAAACAACGGGGGAAAATGCTGGGAATAAAAAGAATCATTTCATATAGACATCATTACAAACGTAGAGGCAAGTAAGCGTTTAAATCCTCTTGCCATTCTTTCAAATTTCTGCATTAATAGCGAATGAAACTTATACACGAGTTTCGCAAGCCAATAATTAGACTGGAAAAAAACGAGGATGATTGCGTCGAGCAGGACATTCAGTGCACATAGGATACCAGAATACGGTAAACATGCGATGACTATGGTAAATTAAATGGAGTCGTTATCGATGCTCATTTGTTACTGATGAACATTTCGAAAATTCTCATGAACAAGTATCATGAAAAGAAGCGTTTTTTTCGATTAATAATACGTTATCATAAATCGTTATAAATAATACAATGATGATGAACA